GACGGCTCCGCAGCGGCTCCGGGGCCGTGAGGTGCCCGCGGGGTTGTCAGGAGGTACTGCAAAGCGCGAAGTCGGGCAAGCACACACCCCCCCCGCTGCCCTCGCCCGTTGCCTTGGGGGCGCCTCAGCCTCCCCGCTCATAGCGGGCTCCCCCGTCACGCCCCAGATAAAGCTGCCGGGTTTTGAGCCTACATCACTCCAGCTGCTTTTCTGAAGTTGGAATGTTTGTGGCGATAGTGGCTTGTCGCGACCGTATTGTTTTATCCGTGCAAGCAGTCCTGCAGTTTGATACAAAGGGATAAATTTTATCTCGTGGGCGCGGTGGAATAGCGCAGCATCCTTAAAACAAAGTTTTGCCTTATTCTTATTAGAGAGCTGGTCCTTGTTTCTTTCAAATACCAGTGGTCGGTGTAAACAAACAAACAAACAAACAAAAATCCATGTTTTTTCTAGAGAAAAGCCCCTCACTGAAAGAACATAGAGTTTCTTCTGTACTTTATGGAAGGTTTTATTCTGTAGTGATTCATGACCCTTGGGAAAAAGTAATTTAATTTAAAATAAAAAGGGATAACTTGGAAAATTAATACAAAATTAGTACAAATTTGCACAGAAAAATGTAGATATATTCTCTTACCTACCTTTAGGCTGGGAAATAGAAATAATCTGGTTGGTTTGTGTCCTGGAGCAAATATTCCAGGAAAAGATGTGTTGGAACAAGCTTTATGTTTTAGCTCACTTTTAAACACTGTGGCTCTCCAACCCTGTAGTAGTACCTTGCTGACAGAAAGCTGGAGTACATGCTGAAATCAGCCAAAAAGTGAGTGTCCATTTAGAGGGTGTAAAGTGTGGTGAAATATTGTAATAATGAGCAGTTGCCTGTATTGCAAGCTTCCTCTAATGAAGCAAATACAACATACTTACTATTTAACATAAGAAATTATAGGTGAAATGAGAAATAACTACCCATAAGAGGATAGCAGTTAATGGGTCTTGCTCTACCTGCATGCCTATGACAAGTCCAGTACTGACAGGGTATATTCCGAGACTTGTCGTTTTTAATGTCTTTATCAGTGACCTGGATGAGGTCATTGAACCTCACTTCAGGTTTGCAGATGACACTTAAGATTGATTTATTAAAAATCTTCTTAAGTTGTGTGATCTCTTTGCTCATGCTAATGTATTTAATAATGATTCTAACCTTGTAAATCTCAATTTCAACCATCAAAAGATTCTTATAATGACAGACTGTGAGAATTTACTTAGTGATACCCATTGTTACAGTTATTCAGGCTTTGGACATACAATGAATGTCTAGTCTAGTGCATCTCAGTGACTGGTAAAAGGTGATCTTGCTCCAGCAGATATTCTGTAAGGTTCTGCTGTGATACAGAACACTGAAGGCTTGCCAGATAGTAGTAGTGAAAGAACTACTGGGTCAATGTAGTTATCTTAACAGAAAATATCAAAAGGAATGAGTAGGAGATCCATACACTGTTCAGGATTTGTTTATGCTTTGCTTTTTTTCTTTTTTTTCGTGTTTCTGTCTTTTCGCTACATTTCATTAGTTATACACAAAAGCAGTTTTTAGGTAGGTTTAGATCTACCATAACTTCTTCCCTGTTGTGATTGAAAGTTAAAATACTGTAGACTTTGCAAATATACTCGCTTTGCATAAGTTAAAAGTATTTTTGGGTGATTGAAATTACAGGCCACTTTACATTCAAAATAATAGTACAAAGTACTTTTCTTGTTAAACAGATAATATTCCTTTAATATATATTAGACTTTAACTCTTTAAATATATATTTTCAGAATGATTGTATTTAGAGGGGAAAAGAGAACTGCTGTTATCATAGTTTTCACTCTTCCGTGAGGCAGTTATTTATGTTTTGGTTTATGTGGTTTTGTAATTTTGTACATACAGGATGTGTTGTAGAAGTTACAACATACCATGCTGGCTATGAAAAAATTTCTTTTAATCTTGTATTGATATGGAAAAAATTTAAAATTTCTTTAAATATTGACTGTTATTAAGCCAGGTTGCCACTATCTTTGTAGATTGTTATTAAAACTTTTCCTGCCTTGTTTTCAGGATTTATTTGGTGTGAGCATGGTTGTTCCTTTAATGAACCTTCATATCAAATCTCTGGGAGCAAGTCATACAGTTGCTGGAATAATAGGTGAGTTGCAGTACTCGATTGATTTACCAAAGAATAAGATAATGTAAATTGTATTATGCCTTACTGCAAGTTGGACATTGTAATATAACTCTTCCTTGCTAGTAGCATAATAAAAATTCAGGCCAATTTCCAAGTGAAACTGTGAGGGAAGTGTTAGACCCAAAGAGCTGTCCAGCCTTGCATACTGACAGTAGACAAAAGCAGGTGCTAGGGAAACAGCGTTCTTGGAAAGAATAAGGAAGTCTTGTAGTAACACTTGTGCAGATCCTTCTCCAGCATCCAAGAATTCACATCTCAGCAACCTGGGGAGTCAGAGGTGTTGCTTTTATTTTTATTGTTACAGACTTTGCAAACAATAATTCTGCAGCTGGTTCTCCTGAGCCTTCCAATGCCTATGATTACTTCCAGTTTGGTTAAATTCCTTGGAGCTGCCTTTTGGCACATCTTTAAGGGATGTTTGCAAGTAAATTCTGAAGGTGTGGAATTTTATCGTAAAAAAATGAAGTAGTAAGATAAATTCTATGGTTCTAAAGTTCTTATTTATATTTTACAGTACTGTTTATGGTTTGTAGTGATACAAGCATGATAATCTTTATAGCTATGTGTGGTTGACCTGGGCTCTGTTATTCAGTTTTTGATTACCTTGCTTTTTATTTTGGATGAAATTTAGCACTTTTCATGAAATAGTTCTGGTTCTGCTCTGAGTTGACAGTTCTGCTCTGAGTTGACAAGGTAGTATTTTAAGCAGCAATTCATCGAAAATATGTTTTCATTTCAACAGTCTGCTTTGATTTTTAACTTTAAAAGAAACTGGGTTTTGAGGTGTATTCTTATAAATGAAAGAGCCTAGCAGATGCTTCTCTTTGTGCTTCTCTCTTTGTGCTTCTCTTCTGTCACTAACTGCTGCTAAACTTTTAGCATCCAAAATGAAGGAGTGGGGTCTGTGGTTTCTTCAGGGCTTCTGTGGTGCCTTGTTATAGGTTGAAATCCCAAGTGGAAAGTAATTAGTGCCTCCCAGTAATGAAATTCTCTCCTGATTCTGAGAAAGCAGTTACAAATGCCAAGGTCTGTTTTGTTTAATACACCATATGAGGCAACATCCTTCTGCATTATATAGTTTTATAAGTTTTCAACATTTGTTTTTCTTGTAATTTCTGAAACTGTTTCCTTGGTTATGTGCTAAACTCCACCCTTGATTTGTCCTGCTCCCTCTTCCTATCCTTCTAGTAAATTATTCCTAGATTTTCTCTCATGTTTCCTCATTTAAAATTTTGTGCAGTTTGCACTTTTAAAAGAAGTTAGTTTAATTTTTAACATTGGTGTTTTACTTGTTTGTTTTAGGATCTCTTTATGGTATAATGCAACTGTTTTCCAGCACATTTGTGGTGAGTTCTAATGCTGCGTTCCTGAGTATGTTGATATTTCTATGGATTTTAGGGGGGAAAAGGATGAGGTTAATAATAGTGTTTCTTGACATTTTGAAAATGTTTATAGCGTTCATATAAGCATTTTTGGTTAGAGGATCCAGTTTTTAGTTTGTGTGGAAAATGTTTGTTCCATTTGTAGGAAATTGCCAGTTTTTTCAGAATAAGCTAAACAGAATACAGACTTTAGACAAAAACTATAATCCAGATTTGGGTTCAGATACATTACTGAACATGTCGCAGTCACACAGTCTCTTCAGTGTTGGTGTTAGTAAAAGCAGTTACCTTCAGTGCAGTAGCCTGTCCAAAAAGCAGTATCACGAGCCAACACTTCATGAGCCTCTTACCTAGAGTTTGCTTTTCCTGCTCAGTGGATGGTGCCTTGTAATTTGACGTATGGCCTAAATGAATGCGTTACATCTTTGAACTTTGTTTGGTTTTGTTTTCTATTAGCTTTTGATTTTTCATATCCTAATCTAAGCAACAGTGCAAAGACTAAACCTCTTGAATGCATGCTTTACCTATTGATCCCTGTATTTAGCCAGGAGAGCCTTTCATATTACACTGGTACCTCCTGGCTTTCAAGAAAGCAGATTTGGAGTGTCTCATGAAAAAACTGTTTCAGGGTTTGTTATGCAGGCCACCTAGGATAATTTGTTTCTGTAACCCTGTGGCATTTTCTTTGAACTGGAAGACCATTGCCTACCATTTTAAAAACCTACTTCCTGTTTGGAATCAAGCTGACTTATAAACATGTGACATTCAAGTTTACTGTTTGCCCTTCTCATAACTACTTGCTACTTGTCTGCTCTTGGATGACAAGCTCCTTGTAGCTAAGATCATTCCTTTTAGGATGCTGAACAAGTGTCTAAGTGCATAGCGACCATTGATGCAAACAGATATTTGTGGCTGGTTGTGGTCACATTTTCAGAGGGCTCCTACTACTGATATTTCATGGTGTTTATTGCAGGAATTTATATTTTTTTAAGATAAATTATTCTTAAAAAAGCTTTATGCATGATACTAAATGGAATCATAGTTTCAGCAAGTGCACTGCCAGTAGGACAGAACTCTGCTTATGACTTCTAGATTTTGAGCACTTAGGAATATTGTGTAATAAGCTTATTAAGCTTTCATTGACAGTCCTTCAATCTCTTTTCTCAATTTAATTTAGAATTACTTGTTGTTCACTGTACATAGTTAAATATTATAAAAAGCTAATCTTAATTTTTGGTTTTGTGAAAGGGCTGCTGGAGTGATATAGTAGGAAGACAGTATTCCCTGCTTGCATGTATTCTTCTCAGTGCACTGGGTTACTTCCTTCTTGGAACATCCCCCACTGTTCTCCTGTTTGCCCTTTCTAGAGTCCCTGTAGGTGAGTAAACACTTGGCATTTTGCAGTTTAAATTCCTCGTAGTCTGAGCTTGAGAATAACTACTAGGTAAGTCATGGTATGTGGATGGCTGCATAGCATCATCACCCAGCAGCACCAGCTGAACCCTAGTAATGGAAAAATCTCTACAAATCAAACGTTCTTGTGACTTTTTTTCTGAAAATAATTTGAAATGTATGCTCAACAACTGTCACAAATTTTATGCCACCTTGAAAGGCTAAATTTTGTGAGAACAGAAGTGCAGCAATTCCTTGAAAGGCTATTGTAAGGTAATGACAGGTACACAATATACCAGGTCACTGCTGGAAATCTTGCAATGGAGAATGGAATGATATGTGTGTTATTGTTTATTCTCATGATGAAAATGTACCTCAAAGTGATACAACAAAATTTGGCTGAAAATTTAGGTCACTGCTTCAACAGAATATTTGAGTTGTGTGAAAGCACGTATGTTTGCAGCACTGAAGCTAAGTTTCTGCCAGGGTTGGTATCAGAGTTTGTACAATAGCTGAACATCTATTGCATATATTCTGATGTAAGTGTTGCTATTACTATGAACACATCTACTGAAGGGCACTTTTATGGCCATTAATTTTGATTTAGGAACTGTTAATATCTCCTAATTTGAAGACACTTTGCTAATTAATTGTTTGGTTGATATTTATTTACTCAGTAGAGGTAATACTTTTCAATGGTAACAGCACTGTGACAGTATTGCCCTAATCAGAGGGAAGGAACATAAAAGATTGCATTATTAGTATTCCTGCAGTATGTTTACCCTTCTGTGCTCTTCTTTTGCCACCCACCAGTTTCCTGTATGAATTTGGTGTGTTACAATGCTGGAAATCTTCATACTCAGCAAAGTTGGTACAGAGCTATGTTCATAAACAGACAAGCCATTCCTACCCCATGTTCCCAAACCCACCCACAAGTTCCTATTTTAGCAGCTATTTTATTCCTAGTGTACTTCAGCGCGGAGCTTAGTTACTTCTTTCAGCAAGGCTGCAGGAGCAGTCCTTCGACACAGATGACTGAACAATTTTGATTTCTAAGTCCAAATCCTTGAGCAGTCAGGATGATGGTCATGGCCCAGTGTGCTGCATGACTCTAGCATTGAAAAATTTGTGATTAATGGAATCTTAAAAATTTATCAATCATAGAGATTTTGACCACTGATATTTGATAGCTGCTTTTAATCTTTTGGACTGAGCAATACATGTTTATCATTTTGCCTATATTATGTTGCAGGTATTTTCAAACACACACTCTCCATTTCTAAAGCCCTGCTTTCTGACTTGGTTTCTGAGAGAGACCGCCCGTTAGTAATGGGCCGCTTCAACGCAGCCTCTAGCGTGGGCTTCATTTTGGGGCCTGTAGTCGGCGGCTACCTTGCAGAGTCAGAAGATGGCTTTTATCAAGCATCCTTCATCTGTGCCTCTATCTTCCTTCTGAATGCTGGTAAGTTACATGTCGTATTTTGCATCTTGGAGCCCTTCATTCCTTGCTTTTGTGTTTTTGTGCTATTTGTAATACCTTGAATTCATGATGCCTTTTTCATCTATGGCATACGTGTTCTGTATACCGATACTATCTTTTGAATTTGAACCTGCGTGGAAGAGAGGGAATTGTGAAACAGATAACCTCCGGATGCTTCTTTGTATTGTATCTATCATTTTTACATTCAGACACAAGAATGGGAATTTTTAATGAAGACTAGAAATCAGAATTTTTGGCTTTAGCCTTCAGATTCGTTTATATGTTGCAAATGCAGCATCTCAGTGTTCTCCGTGCTTTCACCGCATTTAGAGTTGAACTGATACTGTTACACTAGACATAATCTTTGTAATTTTGAAAAGTGGAATGATTATTGAAGTCCTTTTATAAATTTTAATTTTTACAGTAAAAGTTTTAATCTTTTTTTTTTTTTAATTTTAAAGTAAATTTCCAGTCAAATTGATGTCTTCCATGTAAAGTTCATGTAATTGAATGAAATCAGCTAATTTCTTGCCCTATTTAGGTCTTGTCTGGATGTTACCCTGGAGTGAAGAAACCACTGGCAATAGGGAACATCAGCAAGGCAACAAAGGAACAGACAGCTTCTCAGCAAAAGCAGCTTGTGACCTGCACTTGAAATCAGTAACTAATGGAGCTATGGCAAGTGATAGTCTTTTCCAATCTCCATGGATCCAAGTTGCAACAGTGCTGAAGAGGATTAAAGGCATTGCGTGCTCTGATCTGTGGGATGTATTTTTAGTGCGGTTGTTGATGTCTGTTGCTATACTGCTGTACTATAGTAATTTTAGTCTGGCCTTGGAGGAGAGATTTGGGGTGAAAGCCTTGTTCTCTGGATACCTATTGAGCTACAGCAGTGCACTTGGAGTCCTGGCTGGTTGTCTGCTCGGACCAATAACAAGACTCTATCAGCACAATACTTACAGACTTCTGTTGCACTCCAGCACTTTCACCTGCACGTTGATTTTCCTGTATGCATCAGCGCTGAGCATATGGATGGTCATTTTGTCTTCTACATTCTTAGCCTTTTCAACTACTATAGGTCGTACTTGTATCATTGATCTTGAATTGACCATTGGTGGGAATGAGGCCAGTGGAACGCTCCTAGGTGTTGGACAGTCTGTGACATCAGTGGGACGTATAGTTGCCCCTCTCCTTTCTGGAATTGCTCAGGAGTTCAGTCCTTGTGGCCCGCCAAGTCTAGGGGTTGGACTAGCTTTAGTAGCGATTCTGATAATGAATGCAAACAAACAAAAATACTGTAGCCATGGAAATGTTAAGTTAAAAAATCAATAGCTGCAGATTTGGATTGCATAGATGTATCTTACAGGAGAGGCAAAGTGAATCACCCTGGGGTGATGCTTATACCTGCCAGGCTTGTTCAGTAGTAGCAGGATCTTTTAAGAGGGCACGCTATGTTCATATAGAGGCAAGTACGTATCAGTATTTCTGCTGCAGGGATGTTAACTCCTAGACAAATGTTACTCTAACTGGTACCACTACAACATTTGTGAGAGGGACTGGTGTTGCTGTATTCTACTGGCTGGGATTTTTTAATGGATTTTTAACTTTTTTTTGCGGGGAAAAAAAGAATGACATGAAATACACAAATCCTGCTTGCTTACATTTGAAATGGTGTTTAGATTGATAGATTGTTTAAAAGACAGAAGTTGATTCTTATTTAACCAGAGGTGAATTTTCATTATTTAATCAAAGGGAGGATTCGCAGTTTAGCTCATTAGCCTTAATTTCTTATGCTGTGGTCTGCTGCCATTTGTCTGCTCTGACAGTAGCTTAATTAACAGAGTGTTTGCTTATGTGATTTTGTTAAGCATACTTTGTCTACAAAACTTGCTGCACAGCATGATTAGGCACATTGGGGTAGCCATCTGACCCCTGCTGATTCCTGGTCTTTCCCAGGTAACAGAATTGGCTATATTCTAACTCCGTATATTAGAAGACCTAAAATGGACAATTTTAGAATACAGGGTCATTCAGAGTGAAACTGGGACTGGATGTAAGCTTTATTGAAACTTGAACTTGGTGGTTCCTGTTTAGTGATAACTTCTACTGAGCAACTTTGTCATAAATTACTTGTTAATATTTCCTGTGCAATTTTTCTACCTTAATTTTAAGAATAAATTTGTTTCTTAATTCTTTTGAATGACTGTTAAAGGTGTGCTGGAGCAAGTAGCAGTAGCTCATGGATCTGGAGTAGTGTATTCTTTCTCATCTCTGGAGGCATAAGTGACATTTCAGCGACAAGAGAAAAACTATTCGTTGGTATCTTAGTCTTCATTTAACTGCGCTGCTCTGAGGTTACTCTCAGAGCTATACTGAGAGTTGTAGCACTCCTCTGTGTTGTTTATTGTTCAAACTCATATACTTGGCAGTCACCACTGCATTTCATTTGAAATGTGTGAAGAATGTATTTTGCACTGTTCCGTATACTTTTCCTTGTAGTACTTGATGAAAGTACAGTCAACAATATATAATTGTTGAGGTTTGGGGTTTTTTGATTAAAAACAATTTAGATATCCCCTTGAACACATCTGTGCAAATATTGTTGCTGCTTCAGGACTCATAGATGGTATTTTGCATTTTGTATTTTCTTCTTTATATTTTCCAATGCCTGTTATCATTTTAATCCTTGCTGAAACCTCAGTAATTCCAGTGGCAGCACCATGGGCATATGTATAGAACTCTGAGTTGTTTTAATTTTATATATTGACATAATGACTGTGTGTCTTATTACTGCTATGATTTCAATACATATCCTCAGAGTTCCTTATTGTAATAATCTGTGTTTCATTTCTCCCTAGAAACTTGAGGCATTTTTCAGGTGTCTTACCTACTCTTGCCTTGCTTGGTAGATGCCCCAAAATATTGTTGCCCTAAATTTCCTATTTTCTTTCTTTCCATCTTGTAAATTTTTATTTTTTACTTAAAACCACCCTTCTGTAAATCAAGGACTTCTGTTTTGCATCTATAGCAAGGGGTAGGAAAAAAACCCTGAAAAATTAATACATATTAGTAATTTTTCATATACTTCTTTGTTATATGAGCTAACATAACATTTACCCTTCGAAGTTGCTGCACTGATTTAAAGTTGAATTCTGTAAATACCATAAAATTCAGTTTATACTAACATACACAGCTGTCTGAATATTGCTTATAAAAACTTCACTAGTTTTGTTTATACATAAGCGAAAAATGCACTTTCCACAGTTGGAAAATATTTTTATTTTGAAAAATAATTATCCATATAAGCTAAATAAAAATTAAATAATCGAATTAAGAATTCTGTAGAAGGCTGTGGTCTCAGGGACATGTTGCAAATTGATGTTACAGAAAAAATATTCTTTACCTGTAAGCCAAAATGATTTCTGAAGTGCTGCAGAAACCTTTATTCTTTGTAAAGCCTCAGTTACAGAAAAGTTCCACTATTTTATTTTTAAGCAATAGAAATAAAATGAAGTGACATTCCATGTCTGTGATTTTGTCGCTGTGTATTTTCCCCTGCTAAAACTTCAGCACCAAATAGAGGTGTTCACATCAATATGAAGTGCAGTTTATTTTTTTTTCTTCAAGCTGTTCCTTAAAATGATCATTTGAATCTGCCTGCTTTTCACATAAAAGGCACAGGAGCCAATTCAACCAAGACGCAGGTTGACAGTGAATGAAAAAGAATAAATGACAATAGAGAATTTAGCAGTTTGGAGATGGAATGCTAAAAGCTACTGGTTTAGTTCCTGGAGAGGATGTTTGAATCCCTTGTTATCTTAGTTGCCATAACCGTGCAAATTCAGAGGGTGATGAGTAAATGACATCCCTGGAGATGAGATGTGACTCCCCTTTTTAAGTTGAGGGAGGAGTAGTAGCAGCTATCTTTGGCTTCAGTCTATGGGGCTTTACTGAATTACTCAGCAGATTCTTTAATCCAATTGTGGTATCTGAAGACTGTAACAAAACAAAGATCTAAATATGAGCTAAAGAAAAAAGTTTCTACCTGCAAATTACGGAAAATTTAGAGTTTTCCTCTTGCTGGCTGTTACTTTAGTTTAGGGTTGTTTTTCTTGGGCTTGTAGGCAGGGTTGGGGGTGGTTTTGCCTTTTGAAACTTCCACTTTTTTAACAGTGGCTACTTTTCTGCCCATTATGACCAGATGATGTTGAGAAGGCTGTGTATACAATATAGTAATTTATTTCTGTAAAACAGCTGGTAGCATATGATATGTACTGATTTTGTTGGTTTTAAATGATGAAGCAAATCAGGTTTATTCCATGTTGTGTATGTTGCATACATTTGAAGAGGTCCTTTATAAACATACCTGTTCCGTGGATTTCAGTTTCTTGTCCCGCTTTTTCTCTGAATTTACTCACTGCAGCACTGTCACAGAGGTCAGTACCATTTTCTGAGAATGGGTTGATTATTGAGCAGATAATGCAGCAAGAAGACAGGACAAGTGTTGCTTAGTAACTGGCTTGTTCACTACTTCAAGCACTGTAATGCCATCGCATTCTAGCTGATGAGAACCTCTGTGCGTATGTTCAGGTTCTGCCAGCCTCTATTTGGTTATGGGTGCTATGGAATACCCCTGGTTAAGCAAGGCTTTTTAGCTCAGCACTCTGGGATTTGAAAACCCAAGACTGAAGTGTGCTGTATAATTTTAAAGACTCATTCACAAAGAGCTGATCATGAATTTTGTAAGGGAGTTTATTGGAGCCTGAACTTTGAGAATCAAATGACTGTGAGTGGAGCTCAGACTTCTTTCTCATAAAAATGAAAGTTTGTAGAGCTTGTTTTAAAGGGAAGTCTTTAAAAACTTCTGTGTTAACTTACAAGGAGAAATGAAACCAAATTTCTAGTTATTTTAAATCCTTAATTAGCGTCACAGAACTACTTTTGTGATGTGCGACACAGTAGGAGCTGCTCTTCCATTCTGTCAAATTTGTAATAAACAGGAGATTACTTAGATATGAAAAAAATAAAGTCAGCTGGGGTATTTAAAATGGCTTTTCCTTTTTTTGGCAAAAAAAATGGCTTTTTGAAACAAACCCTGTGGCAATTAGGTTGCTGTTGTAACTCACAAATTTAAACCTGCGCACATTTTAGATTATGAACTGGTGAGACTCATCAGAGCAGCCAATGTGACCACTGCCTTCCCTTCCACAATCTTAGTTCCTCGTATTCTGTCAAACCTCACAGGACAAAAAGGCTTCCAAAGCTCATCAGTGCTGTGTAGGAACCACATCAGTATTTGCAGACTTGGGAGAGGAATGGTGCTGTCTCCCATCACATTGTCCTTACAAGATCTGTCTACCACCTGCAAGTAGAAATCTTCTGATGGTAAGATTCTCAAGTGGCTCAGCACGGTATCCAAGAGGGATCCAGCCACCCCTAGCCCCTCTAATCTCTGAGGACTTGCTAGAACACAAGGGAATTCAACTCTTACCAAATTAATTCCTCACCTTAAATGCAACACTCCCAAATGCTAAGGTTTTTGTTCAGAGAATTAAGCTGCTGTGCATTTTTTTAAGTAGATCCCTATTTAGCTGGCTGTCTAATAAATAGGCCAAGAGGGAGATGAAACTTTGAGTTGAAAGTTGTGACAGCTGCCACAGCTGTTCCCACAACTGACAGTGTCAAACACAGCTGCAGGTTTATCTAGAAAGGGCAAGTTATATCATGATCTGCTAAAATATGGGCTAACAAAAAAAGGACTGTTAGTCCTCCTGTCTCTCCCAGATTTAAATAGCACCTGAATCAGTTAGTCCATGACTTCTTCCTCTACTGCATCCTAAAGCTGTTCTTCCTCATGCTTGAACTTGATACCCCTTCTCTCATGTTTTCTGGCCTGAGCCTCCAATTTATTGTTGGCCTGGCTGGGGCTGTGTATTACAGATGCCATGTTTTAAGCATATTTACAAGGATATTTTTATAGGATCAGAGCTCTTGTAGTACAAGAAGCATTCCTCCAGCCAATTTCAAAATCCTTCATTTTTTCTTCAGGAGCTGGGGGATGTTGTCAGAACTTAAAACAGTTTTGGAAATGGTGACCAGCTGAAGCATTTCTTGCAGTGTCGGCCTTAAAATGTTGCTGGTGTCTGGAATTGGTGGGCTTGGCATCTCTTGAAAAACGTGGTGCAGGGTGCAGTGTGTTTGCTCCCAGACACCTCAAGATACTCTTCCTAACAGCATGCATGTTATTTTGGCCGAATTTTTAACTTTGTTTCTCTGTGATTTCTATGTGGCTTCAGCAGAGAAGGATATTCTCAAGTTTCTAAATTGTTTTGCAGCATGGTTTTCTTTTATTGAACACCTGTAGTTTCAGTGGAGCTTGCATTATACTTTAGTATCAAGTAGGACAGCCCTTACATTTTGCCCCTTGCAGCAAATTATTCTTGTTTTCTCTATCAAATACCTGCTTAAAACATACCTGGATGTATACCTACTCTCCAGCCCTTGCTATACCTACTTTCTTATCCCATCTACTTCTAATTTATAGGTCTCTCAGCAGCTGAAGGGGAAAATTCTCAAAAAGCCATAATTCAGAGTGTAACATAGATATTTCCCTACTGTCCCTCAAACTGGACAACTGGGCATTGTGCTTCCTCACCAAGGCAGTAAAATATCAGCACTACGGAGTGTACTGAGGAGTCCATGCGGAAACAAAAAATTTATGTGTGAATTTGTCAAGTATTCCAGTCACTGCTGAAGATATGGTTTCCTGAAAAAGTGAAAAACATGTTCCGTCAATACATGACTTTGCCCATCAGATGGCGCTCGAGGACAGAGTTACTGGGCACTTCATTCTCCAGCAAACTTTGACACAACATGAAAGAAGTCTCAGCAAGCTAAGTTAGAAGGGCATTTTAGAAAGATCAAAGATGCGATTGAAAGTGTTTTCCCTTTGCAGGAAAATGTAAAAAAAGAAGATAGGAAAAGGCAGACCTCTGACCTCAACCAGAGCAAGAGTTGTATGTGAAGGGCTACCTCGGACATAGCCTGTGTCACCTATTGCTGTCACTGCTACTGAAAAGGAGAACACCCAGGAAAGCAGTTTCCAGAGACAATGAGGGTCTTACCCAGCAGTAGGGGAAAGGAGCCTGAAAGGGGTGGGAGAAGCAGGACTGAGGAAGGGAGAGAGCGTTTGCAAGAAGACAAGAGTCCCAGGAGATTTGTGAATTCTGCTTCCTAGTGTTTAACCATGATGGAGATTTGGCTTGATGCTTGTATTCTGTGGATCTCAAAGTGCTTTGGAAAGGTAACAATGTACTAGCATCTTCTGAAGCACCAAGAGCTTAAGACCATATTTCATAAAAACAACCTTCAATTCAATGTGCTTGTACTACGGGGCACCCACTTTAAGTACCAGTGATCAGAGCATGCACTGTACTAATGCACAACCAGAAAGGCAGTAAGGTTTCTGAAAGCTGCATTCATTATTTAAAATTGTGCCACAAAAAATTACAATCATTTGAAAATAAAGGCAGCTCTCCCCAGATACAAGCCCATTACTTGGTCATTACCGGCACATGAATGAGAAAGCTCCACAGGGAGTAAACGATGTGCAACATTTCACATTTATTTGGTCAGATAAAAACCACCTAATCTAAGCAGGCTGATCTGCAAGAGAACATGGTTTCAAAACTAAAATCCAAACTGGGGATTCCTTCTTATTCAAACATGATCCAAATAATGCAGTGACAAGAGTACTCACTGACAATTTTACTGTTGAAACCTATTTTCCTGTTGAAAGACAAATTCATATTTGTTTTTAAAGCTTGCTGGCTCTGTTTGAATCCAGTTTTATTTCCAAACAGGAGATGATCATTAAAGGATAGCTAAGTCCTAAGGATTCCATAAAAATCATTTGATGAGAATAGCCATGACCATTTGACTGAGATTTCTAGGGTTCACGTAGCCATCCCTCTGCAGCTTAGACTTTGCATTTGACACACAGCAGAAATCTCCATAGCTGAAACAGAAGAAAAAAAACTAAAAGACCTGTGCCAAGAAAAGAGTTTAGGAAGGTTTAACATTTCAAATACATACATGAAATAAATATTTTGGAAAAGGTGTAGAAGAAGGAAAGTCCCCATTTATAAAACTAATTTGTCAACCTTGTTCGCGAACCTCTGAAAGAAATCTACCCTGTGATTTTAAAAGGAAATTCTGATTTTTAATAGTTCTTTCAAAACAAGTTTAAATTAAAAAAAAGAATCTTATTGCCCACAGATTTAGAAATGTGCTAATGAAAAAGAAAAGTTATGATTTCACAGTGTACATTCTTCAATGAACGTCATCAATCTTGTAACAAGTAGAATGAAAATTATTTCTGCACTGCACTGAAATGTGTATCTGTGCTGAAGCAAGCTCAAAATTTAAGACAGATTAAGTGGGACAGAAAGTGCAAATTCCTGAGACCTACAGTTAAGTATCATTTATTTTAATGCACCTTCCCTTCCCATATGCACTCAAATGGCAGCCATTTATGCTAGGATGAAGTCTGTGTTTCTTACAAGTATTATTAAGGTGCACAGTGACTTCAACTGATTCCAGGGCCCTGCTGTGCTACTTTTCTGTACAAACAAATAAGACGGAACATTTTTGTTCCTTGGAGTGCATAGCTCAGACAAAGAAAAGATTATCTTTCCCCTTTTACAGATGAGAAAACAAAAAGTAAAGTAAGCTGACCACAGTCACAAGTGTGAGTGAACGAGCTTTAGAGTCTCAGTGGTCCCTGACTCAAACAGGAGACTGCTCGCTTCATCTACGTGCAGCGCTCTGCAACTATTCTACTGCTGTGTTTGCACTGCATCCAGGAAACTAAGGTGCAAAGAGCAATTTTGAGTAAGAGCATTATTTATCCACTTGAAGTTTTCTCTTTTTAGGGTTTCTGGTGTCCCGCTAGGTGCTCGCAGATCTTGTTGACATTAGTGAAAGTCAAGGTAATTCAGATTTCCTTTGGTGATCCTCAGTACCTTTCAAAGGTAACATATTGCCAAAAATTCAGAAAGTAAAAATTCAAGCTATTCAGGTCTTGTCTCTATTACAACTCCTTTCTATAAATTGTATTTGCAGTTCTCCTCCTACAGCTTGTTCCTTCTCTTTGTCCTCTTTTTCTGCATCACAGTTCTTCGAACAAACTGGGCTTCAGGAATATATTTATTCTTCGTACAAAGTCTATATGATAGGTGCATTGTGCAATTTTCAGTGTTACTCATATTAAAGCTCTGGTTAAAACAAGTATTATTTGATTATAAATAAAAACTGAAATGATACAAATTTTTTTTACGAATCCATTCATCACTGGATTTTCAACAATGATTTTCAGTGGATAACTGGTATTAAACCTGCATGACTTGGTTCCACAAGAGATGATGTGATAAGGCACATTTCCATCCTATCTTAATAGTGGAAATAATGTAGTTAAAGCATTGACATAAGTTATTTATAAAAGAGATAATTTTTTTTATGTCTTCAGCTTTGCAATTGCCAGTATTCCTTTAACTTAGTTAATGGCATTGACTTTGCCCAAATGGAAGTGGTTTGATCCACGTTGAGGCTTTTTTTTTTTTTTTAATGGATCCCATAGTCTGATCAGATAGTTTAGAATCCCAATTCAATATGTCCATGGTTTGTTACCGATAGTTCTCTTTTTCCTATGTTCAGTACGGCTGGTTCTCAGGCTTATTTCTCTGCCTTTCCCCTTGTGATGCCTGCCTAACTAACCGTGGTGGTGGCGTAGGTCTTGCTGATCCATGGTCTGCAGTCATATCTTCCCTGCTCAAAGTGCCAAATCTTGGTCTCGTCAGCAATGGCTGCCTGAACCCAATGGATGGCTGAGGCAAGGCGCTTGGATCCTGTGGCTCTCCTTGTCCACCCTGGCTCCCATCAACTTCATTCTTCCACTCCACCCTAAAATCAGGCGGTGGCCTCTGCTGTCTCAGTCTCTGCTCTCTCAAGATTTTCCCTGCTCTGGGTCTTAGATTGAGCACTGTGGTAGCGGCATCCATCTCAGAATCACTGCTGTCACCCACTGTTAATTGAAAACAAAATTAAGATTTTAGGTGAAGAATATTACTGTTTCAGGAATATTCGAATAACAGCATGCTGAGCACTAGCAGCCATAGAAGAAAGATTCCTCGTGTTTCCTAAATTTGGTGCTTTCTGATTAGACCGGTAATAGACACTTAACTCTCTCAGCCCTCCCCTTAAAACTGTATTTTTAGAAAGTCCTCACTCAGCTGCTCCTTAACTGCCAAGTGCCCCCCAGTTTGAGTTGCCATTTCCCCAGTTCTGGCTCTGGACATGGAAAAACCTCTCTCCCTCTGAGCTACTTGGGTCCTTGCTCATGTCCAAGCAGGATACAAAACTGAAACTTTTCACTCTCACATCCCACAAAATCTAATCTGAGAGGCATTTCCAGAGCACAACCTGTACAGGGACTCCAGAAACCCGACTTTGGAAAAGAAGCGCTAGTACTCCACCAAACAAAGGATCTCCCAAGGTCAGTGTACAGATGGGAGGAATCATCCTGTCCTTAATATGCCTAAATGTAAGATATCAAAGAAAATGCACAGGGCAAATCTCACAGGTGCACATGTGCATATATTTTCCCCAGCAGACATCTTTTAAATTGATTTGCATGCTTCAGTCATTTGATAGTCATTTTAACCATCATTTATGAATGCCTCAGATTTGTTCTTAAACTTAATTTAGATATGGTGTTTTAAATATATCAAAGCAAAGAATTGTGTTTGTGCAACTGTCCTAAGAACAACTTCCATTAGTAGCCTACATGTTATTTGTTTTAAAAAAGTGAGGAAGGAGTCAACAAAAAATATCAGCACATAATTGTCCATTCACCTAGATAATTATGTATCAAGGAAGGTCTTTGTCAAACTGTGTTTGCAGGCTTTTTCCCCCTTTAATATGTCAAATAATATATTTTTTGACAACTGAGTAATCTGGAGGCACATTTCCTCTTTAATTCTAGGTGACCTCTGCAGACATAACAACAGAATAAAAGGCATCCTACATTCAGGAGACCAAAGGTGTAATTGTTAACAAAAACATGGTCTATTGCTAAATTAATTTGGAAGAGTGGGAAACTAATTGGGGTGGGGATCAGGACATTTTATTGACTGTGCAGAGATTTCATCTCAGCAAGAGATCTTTATGGTTGCTTGTCATGAAAGGAAATGCTCCTGAGCACGGGATAAGCATGGTAATGCAACTGGTAATAACCAAAAGTAACATATAGAATTGGGCAAAGTTTTCACATCACATGGTTATCTTCTTCCAAATTTTCTGTTGTTGCTGTTAGAATTCAACTCCAACATAAAACATTTATGAGTTTTGGCAGGAAAAACAAAATTACATTTTGGTTGTAAAACAGCATTTTGAGAAGTTCTTCATGAGAACTATAAACCAGATCTCATGTCCTCATTCTCCTCTCTGACTTCTCAGAGCAGTGTCCTCTACTCTGACCCCAGTGAGAAAAGAAACCAAACAGGCTTATAATCCAAGAGGGAGATCTGGACATTATGGAATAAATACAAGGAGAATGAGTCACGGCAGTGTTTCTGGTGCAGAAGTGTGTCAGGCTGCTGCTCACTCACATAAGGGGATGTGCTGGGAGGACAACACCACTATGACATGTGAACTGAGAAAACCCCACAAGACTCTGCTTGACGTGGCATTTCTTTATATTCAGATACCTGTGTTAGCACCCATCACTTTTAATGCTCTAAGACCCCTGCTAAATATCCAGCACCTAGAAATATGCTATGAAGGCATTAACTTTAGAATTAAAGCATGTGCATGTAAAACATTTATTTGAAAATTAACATGCTGATTTCTCTACATCATCCCTGGAAAAACTTTCCTTCTATGTAGGTAAAATGACTGCAGCACAGTAAAAGACAGCAGAAAAATTTTCTTTACCTTTTGAAGATGTTTTATTTCTCACTCGTAGTTTCTCTGGGAGTTTAGTGTTTTTAGGAAGTGAAAGGAATCTTTTTGTATTTGCAGCAGCCTGTGTGCAAAGAAATATAAGAAATGTTAGGTTACTGCAGACTGAAGTACCTGTATAATGTATGTTAAGGTACATGACTGAGGCTTGAACAAGTTTATGTAACTAAAGGGCTGGAGAGTAGTTTGAGATTAGCTAATACGTGATCTTTTGCTACACTCTCAAGTTAACACTGATTGCTGGTTGAGGTCTGCGCTAACTAAGATAAAGACTGAGTAACCTCAAGCAGCTTAATCAAAGGAAAGCCTAGTGATATGCCTTCTGAGATCAAAGTTAATAAATGTATGCTCTCTAACCTCAACCTTACCTGTACAGGTTTTCCTAAGGAAGGCAACCGCTGCAAGCATGGCATCACTTCATGCAACTCCCATTTGAAACTTTTTAGTAGTCAGCTGCAAAAATTACGTTGAGACCAAAGCTCAGGCACAAGAACTAATCTGTATTCTGATCCTGCAAGCACTTTATACATATAAATGACTTTATACAGTTGACTAGTCACACTGAAGTGGACGGGGAAGTTAGGCACCAGCGTGATCATTTACCAATGCAGGGCATAAAATCCTTGTTTTCCCAAGACCAAGCTCTAAAGGCCCTGGGAGCAAAGCACACCTCATACTTCCTGGAACATGAGAGGTACTTTCAGGACAGGGTGTTTTTTTAAAAAATTCCAAGTTTCTCAAGGGCATCCTTTCTTACATTTGATAGAATTTTTTTTTTTTAAACTCATATATTCTATCAGCTCTCCTCTGCTTGTTTCACACTCAAAAGGAACCTGGAAGGAAATCTATTTTTCATGAGAGACTCTTCCTCTTTGGATATTGTTGTGCTGCTCAGGACCACTATGCTTCCCTCTGTGGTGGATTCATCCAAGGATAATAGTTTTTAAAATTAGAGCCTGTACATTTTAAAAAACTGTCAAGATACCTGTTTCTCTCCCTGCCCTGACAATGTCTTGATCCTGCTGAATCTCTTCATTATTCCACCTAGTAAATCACTTATTTGTATGACAAAGACAACATATATAACTGTGAGATGGAAAAAAAATAATTCAGGAACAAAATTATTGTCACAATCAATACCACAGTAGCCCTGGTAATGATCACAAATAAGATATAATACATATTGGAGCCATCATTCCAGCCTCAGCTGCTGAAGGACAACTGTATCAATGAAGACAACA